AGGAGCTAGGCCACTTATGGCGCTGGCATGCTGAAATCTGGCGGGATCCCAATGGATCTTGCATGCCCGAGTGACCCGAGTGACCCGAGTGCTTGCCGAATTATCTAGCTGTTGCAACTTGCCTGTCTGCAGGAGAGCTCCCCAAGAACAAGACCCAATATGTCTCAGTGCCAAAGCTGCCAGTGGCATAAAAATAAATCGGACGTCGCACACGTCGCACACACACACAAACAAGCAGTCACACACACACGCAGACACCGCACACGTCGGTTGAAGGCAGCTGAAGGCCGGCGTCCCCTTTTGCGCAAATGGCTGGCTCTTCTAGCAAATCCAGAAGCCAGATCAATTCCTGCGCCTTGCCAGCCCCTTCCAAGGCAGTCCTCAGTTTCGCTCGTTTGACCTTGGTCCCCTGAAAGTAACATGGAGTCCAAAACTGGGGTCCTCAAAGGTTGCTGTTGTATTGATGCTTTTTGGGTTCCATGTTGATATGCAGGGGGCGCAGAGGTCTGCTGTGCCGATGTGAGGGAAAACTCATGATGGCTCCGGCTTTGCCAACACAAAGCAAAGAACATCGTTGGACGTTTCAGATAATACGATCCTGATGTGTGCCAGAGGGCACAGCCTTCAGATCTTCAAGGAGGCTTGCCAGAGTAATTCGTTCATGGGAGCCGGGGACCCGACTGGGTGGTCCTGACAATGTGAGTGTGGGCCCCATCCCGGCCGCAGCGCGTGTCAAAAACTAAGAGGAATTCGGGACTCCCAATCAGCTTCCCTCTGATTGGTGGTTATGTGGTTTGGTGGTTACAGGGTGATTTCCAAATTACCCTCTACAAAAGCCGGGGTTTCAATCCAAATCCAAACCACTCCGAACCAACTAAGAGTCTGACCCAAAATGTGTCATGCATTTTCCACCGCCTCAGGCTGCTTTCATGACACCCGTAGCCCCTGCCTGGTGCTTTTTGCCGGATACGGAGGGAATTCCTGAACAAAAATACCACCCCCGTACAAAGGGGACTTCCTTGCTCAATCTGCAAAATCTAATCCCCATACCCCATACAAATGGGACACCCCCCAATCAAACTCCAATATTACCCCAGCGCATCCCATCCAATACCCAACGCCAGGCATCGCCAGGTCCGCTCCGCCCTCAAAGTCGCCCCTGATGAAGCGCGCCAGAGCCACTCGCCAGCGGCGCTTGCAAGCGGCCATCGCCGCGTTGCAGGAGATGCGGCTGGGTGCTAGGCGAGCCTTCGGCGTGCGTCCAACTGGTGACATCAGTGTGGTTAATTCCTGCGCAAACAAAAACGAGACCAAGCAAAATAAATAAATAACGAAAACGCAAACAAAGTGCCGACGAGTTCTTTACATAATGTCTGAGGGTTGTGTGTTCCGTGACGTTCGCCTTTTTGAGAGTGTTGTTTTTGTTGTGGGCTGGTCTGATCCAGCAGAAAGACTGTCTGACGATTGCTTTTTGTTTGCTTGCTATGTTTGGTTTGGTTTTTTTGGATATTGAGAGTTTTCGACGTCTTAGTTTTAGTTCGCAGTGAACCTAGGAGCACACAGTGACGCTGCAAGAGCTGGAAACGCATAAACGCACTGGAATTTCACAAGCTGACTGCAATCAAAGGCAAAACAAACTCACGTGGCCAAGTCCACTCTCACAGTGCCCCTGTTGAATGTGTATATATATATATATATGTATAAATAAAGGTACATATATACGTACACGAGCATATAGATATACACATATATATGTATATAGATATATGGTAGAAACATGGGCTGACCGGCTGACCATGTTGCAAGGACAAATTTGCCAGCAGCCCCGGGCCTCGGGAAGCCGGAGCAGCAGCTGCCTCGGACGGGTCTCTGGTCCCACCGCGGGTCTCTTGAGGGGGAAAAAACGACCGAGTGAAGACATGGATGCCCGAAGGGCCGGCCGGGCCAGCGCGGCTTACTTTCGCCGTCCGGTGCGGCTTACTTTTCAAAAAAAACAAATAAAAGACTACAAAATGCTGCACCTGACCGAAATGTCCATCAGGATCCGACAGCAAATGCTCGGATTTGAGCTTACCAGGGCGACCGATGTTCGCCTTTGGCGGCTTTTTTTTCTGGGAACGCTTAGGCATACCTCAGCGAGAAGTCATACATTTTTACAGGGGGGCATTGGTGTTGCAACAAGGCAGTGCAAGAGGCCAACCCTGAAAGCACCCACAAGGCACTGACTCATCACGAGGTGTCTCAACTCCACTCCAGTGATTCATAGGTTCTTGATTGAAGCCAAGTTCAGTTGCAAAAAACATGTCTCTACTGCTTGCTTGACTTTGCACAACAGTAAAATGCACTGTGTATTTAAACTATTGAAGTGGCTGAACAAAAAAGCCACCCGATGACCACGCCATACGAAGTCCGTTTTTCTGTAAGAAACGGGGTGGAGTGGGCAGGTCGCGTCCCTGACGTGCGCTTCGGCAGCATTTAGTTGTCCATGTTGTCCATACCTGTAGTTTTTGTTTCCTCCTATGTCTTGTTTTTTCTGCCGGAGATTCCCAGTCAACTCAACATGACCTCTCCTTAATGCTCAAACGCGACCCGACCGCCGACCACAAGGGAAGCTGTCCAATTTGAGGTGAAGACATACGAACTGTCAACATATGCGGTTCCCGCGACGGACGTGGGACAAGTGGGTCCCCCTTTTGGTGGGAAATTGATTGAGTCCGCCCAGGCCCCCGAACGAACCTTAGATAAGAGATTTCGCACACAAGTGATAGAATCTTTGCCTAGTCACAGCACCTGGGACCAGCACAGAGCTTTCGCGCAAGCAGCGCCCAAGGCGTTGAAGCTGCGAAGGCTCGCACGCAGCAGCGACTGCCCCAAGCGCCACCGGGACCGACAGGCGCTGACCAAGGTGTTGTAGGTGATCCTGGCGGAACGCCACGCGTGGGGCCAGGCTGGAACGCCGCTTGTTGAAGAGCTTCCCGCACTTATTGGGGGTTGAATTGCTGGAAGGTGTGCTGAAGTTAGTACGGTTTTGGTTGCAAGTGGATGCCAAGAGCATTTGGGCACGGCAAAGCATGACGATTTCTGATTCAGTCACCTCACCAAAATACGGACCGAACCAAACACAATTGATGGAAACACAAACAAGAACCGCGTGCATTATGCGCTCGCCCAAGAATCTTCGAGGCACTCACCTTTGGGATTGGGGGGACCCGATCAAGGTGGTGTACAGGTCGGCCTTGGCCAAGCGCTTATGCAGGCGATCGGCGATCGGCGATTGGACCATCCAAGGCTCAAATCCGGTTCCAGGCCGGAGCTGGACATTGCGTCGAACAAGTCTAGGGCTGCCTTCCACTGTTCGGCTTCCTCGCATGCGCTGATGGAGGCATTGTAAGTGAGGACCTCGGCCGTCTCAGCCCCATAAGGCATGTTTACGCACCTCTTGTTTTCACAACCTCCTGTTGGATTTTTTTGCAAAGGGGACCAGGGGCTGGCAGCTGAAACCAAAAGTTGCCAACAACCCCGGCCTGGGCCCTGACAAGGTTGCATTCCGCCTCTGCAAGGAGGCGCAATGCAGCTTGCCACTGGCTCGCACGTCCACACACGGTGATCGCAGCATTCCTGGGTACCGAGAAATTTGCGCAATGGTCAAAACTCCCAATGTCAGTCATGGTCAAGGACCCCAACAAGGAGCCAATTTACTCTTTGTCTCAAACTTGAGTAACGGGTTCATGACCAGCTAGCCCGACCCAAGGTTGGTGTTTTGACCATCCCACACAGGCTAAGCTGGCTGGCTGCTTGGACACCTCCAATACGCTTCGTTGCTTCTGCATGTGTCGCAAAATGAGCACATGTGCGTGCCTGAAAGCCTCAATGCCCTATAAGCAGCAAGCAGTTCGCTGCCAGACTTTGCAACACCAGCTCCAGAGTTCAGCGCTAAATTGCCAATGGTGTTGGGTATGCAATCGAGATATTCTGCCACCCCCTCTCTCTGTGTTCAAGATGGAAAGTGAAGAGGTTTGCAACAACAGTTCAATTGCTTCCATGCCGTCCATTTCACCGGGCTGCACCGAATTCGCGTCCGGGGCTGTGTGCAAAGCGTACTGCAGCACTTGGAGCGCAAGTTCCCAGCGCTGGGTCTCCCCACAGGCGCTGATGGCCCCATTCTGCGGGAGCACTTCCCATTTTTGGTCGCCAGAAAGCGCACAGGCGTCGAGAATGGCCAGGGCGGGTTGCCATTTTGTGGCCTTCTCCTTGGACAGGTCACTTCCAACTCGACCTCCCTGATTTGACCGCCCTTGACCTTTCAGCTTTGTGATTTTCCGGAGCACGCTGGCATGCAACCAAAACTCGGCTCCCCAAATGTTTGAAGCACGGCAGTGACTCAAATGGCCGACATTGGGGGTGGGGGGTGGGGGAGGACAAATGGCAAGAACGCAAAGTTCTGCATTGGGTGCGAGTTCAGTGAAACACCATGCTCAAGGCCGCTCCGGAAGCCTGAAAGAGAGGGGTCTAGACAATTTCCTGGCACAAACAGGCTTAAATACAAGGAAGGCACTTGCGAGTCACTGTCGAACCCCCGTGCTAAAGGAGTCTACCTAGTTACAACGTTAAAAAAATGACAAGTGCTGCTTTCGGCACCCATTCAAGGTTCGGACCACTTGCCCACGCTTTCAATCATATTTGTTCAAATTGGGAATGCAGCAACGGAATACCAACTGGGATGAAGATTAAGGACACACCTTCCTGAGCGGATCGGTCAAAACAAAAGTAGCCAAACTATCTTGCCACTGAGATGGTCGTCCAAAAAGTATAAAGTCCAGGATAGGAACTTGCTATTGTGGGATTTGGACCCCCAATGGGCAGGGTATCCTTCTCTCTAACCCGGCCGGAAAGGGAATTGTCGGGAACCCTCACAAGACCTCATGCCCAAAAGGAAACCGCCCATGTTGGGGCTCCCCAGTTTGACCCATGCTACCCTGAACGTTTCTCCAAACAGACCTCTCAAAACCGGTTCCTTCTTCCAACAAAAAACGCGACGCCCACAAGCGGGCCTCAAGTCACGGCGAGCCGCGCAAGAGCTGACGCAGGCGCTGTCCAGCACGTCGGACGAGAGCTGTTGGTTTCGGCACATGGCCAGGGCGGCCAACCACTCTGCGCCGCAGGCGCTGACCTCACGGCAACCCTATGGACATATGTCCACACACCCTTTTTGAGGGGCGCCCTATTGAAAACAACCTGGTTCAACTCAACAAACAGATTGCTGGCGTTCTAAACAAAAACGCAAACAACAGTTGTATTAAATTTGAAACTTGGTCTTGGACAAGTCAGCTGACTGCCGATGTCATTGTCACAAGGTCCCTTTCCAGGCCATGCAGGGGCATGTCGCCAGCCACGGCATAGGCTAGTTGCCATGTTGTCCTATCAGGGCGATGCAGAAATTGCACATCGATTATGCCAAAGCGTCTGCCTTCTCGAAATGATCTGTTTAGTGAACGTGAGCCTGCAACAACATGCAACAAAGTAAGCGTCCACAGTGTTCATGTACCCTGAATGTGCAGCCTGTTCATGGCTTGTTTGGGCGCAAAAACGGCGAAGCTGGACTTTTTCCGGGTGTGACAAAAGGAATATTGCTCCCTGGATGTCGTTGTTGCCTCGAGGTCAATCTCCAAGGGTGATATCGGGCTCAACATGTCGGTTCAACTCGTGCCACTTGAACGTCCAAAGCATCATGTATCACAACAGGTTGCCCTCGACACGCCTCGACCAACCATAAGAAGCAAACATGTTCATACAACAAGGGCTGGTGTAGACTTCAATGGTGTCGCTAACTCTTTCCTTGGCAACCCTGCTCATGTACAAACAAATCTGGAGATGCCAGTATCGTTGAGCTTCTCTGTTAGAAGCAACCCATAAACCTGCACATTGTCGTGTGGTTGCGCCCGCTCCAGGTGCAATCGATCCTCCAAAAAAGCCACGTAATCGACCAACTTGCTGCATTTTGGGCGAAATTCATCCCTTATAAGTATATATTGGTTCCGGGGGCCCTCCCTTGGGGGCCCTCTGGTAGCTCAACGCCTTTGATAATTCTCAGGCTATTCTTGCTGGTTCTCAGCAGGGAGTGAGGAAATAAGTTGGAATGAGCCCAAGTTATAAACCATCTTCTTTGGCTTCCTTAAGTGAGTCCCTATAGGTTCATTCCCAAAACCCGGAGTCGGTCATTCCCTGGTGTTCCGCCTGCTGGCGCTGATGGCTGTGTTGTGGGTGACTCGGCTGGCCCGAAGACCGCGCAGCTTCCGAAGCAGGGAACCAGCCCGCGACCACTGCCCGGCGATGTCGCAAGCGCTCATCACACCGTTGTAGGCCTCAGCAAGCGATCTCTCTGTGACCCTTAAAGGGGGGGGGGGATACTTTGCGTTTCAAACTGCAAGTGCTATGGGTCAGCAAATCAGGCGAGCTGGGGCAATTCCGAGGGGGGAATCAGAGCACCAAGTGCCTGGGCTCTGCCGTCGAGACCGCGTGAGCAAACGTGAGCATTCAAGTGGCTATGTCCTCATCATCGAGCACATGTGCAGTGTGTCGACACTAAATATGTATGAAAATAGGCAGGCTATGAAGGCCGTTTTGTGGGTCGCTGTGTGTGTTGAATGTTGGAGCCGCTCTCTATCACCATCTTGCCTTTACCCAAGCACGAGTCAGCCTGGCGCTGCTCCCATCTGGGGATCTGGGGGATTTATTTGGACCATTGGGTCCAAGAAATCGGCGGCCGGTTCGCCGGGGAGCCACAATGTCGCTGTGGAGCCTCCGCGCGTGCACGGAACCCAGGAGTTGGAGGCTGTCCTGCCACAGACCCTCCGCGCCAAGGGAGCTGAGGATGATGCTGGAGGTGACAGCCTCTGGAGGCAGAGGTGCTTGCTGTGGCTATGCCATCGGCCATGCATTATAACTCAGAAGGGTACATGACAAACCTTGCAGCAGACCCGAGTGCACAGTTGGTTGCGTTGTTCTTGTTTCCTCCAACGAGAATTGTGTTCCGAAAAGGGTCCTGAGCGGGGTCATGTCCGTAGGGTACAAAACAGCCTATAAATCAAAATGCTGAGGTCCACGAATTGCCCTGCTCAGTGTGGCAGAATTCTGACTCGGGGGAGAAGTTGCCTCCCTCTCATACTCCGGAGGCCAAACTTGCTGAGGACATGATACAGTTCATCTGGTGGCTGGAGCTGCCAGGCCAACTGCCAAGTGCTTGTGGCATGCAACAATTACATCAACTCAGCATCAGCATAGCTATGTCTATCTATCTGTATACACAGACAGAGAGAGAGATGTACGATACGTACAGTAGATATACATATGCCAATATGCATCTGTATATGTATGTTTATCTATATATATATAATCATGTTGTATAGGTTGTATGGTATCAGGGACATATCGTTGACCTTCTCGACATTGATGTCGGTGCCTGCATCTGTTGCTTCTTTCCAAGATCTATCCGCCTCACGCACTACTGATTTGTCAAGAAGGTCATTCACATCTTCGAAGGGGGCGGCCGAGCTGCTTTGAGCTCCTAAGCCAAGGAGCATCAGGGCCAGCAGAGCCCAAACGTCTCAAAACCTCCAGGGCGCACTGCCACTTTTCGCTCACAGCGCCCATCAAACAGTTGTAGGTAATCAGGTTGGTCTCCAACTTCACTTCAGCGTTGTGCCTGGCCCATGGTCATAGTTCTCTAGTGTCTCTTTTATGGCCCTTAATGACCCCAAGACTTCTAGCACTGACAACGCCCCTGCTGTAGCCAAGGCCCCATTCTGTTCAGGGAGCAATAAAGGGGGTCGCTATGGGTCAGCCTGCAAACAATCTCAGAATGAAGATGCAATCTTGGAATGACCCCCCTTTCAACCATAGATGGATGCAAATGCAGGCATGAGTGGTTTGGTGAACAATGTATTCTTCAGTTGGTCATGTCTATCAGCACACCGGAAAGCCACGTGGATCGCTAAACAAAAGAGCACGTAGTTAAACCAGCGTCAGTGAAGCTAGCTGCGTGTTGATCCCTGGTTGATAACCCCCTAGTCATTTACCAGAACTGCCATTCTTTTGGATGCCCGCTCAAACAACCCTTGGTTTAGCATCTTCATGAAATGCCCCCCTTCGTACTGTCTCCCCTTCCACCCAAAAAGGGAATACGCTGGGGAAGTGCGCCGTTCCGTCGGGAAGTGCGCGCAACCTCTCCCGTGTGGTTCAGGGGGGCATGAACCCGTTGAAGGCATAGGGACCGATCAGCTTCGCGGGCTCCTGGTGGCTTCCCTTCAGCCCCAAAAAGGCCAGCGGGTGTCAAAACAGGCCGCCCCCTCAAACTGGGGGACCCCAATATGCCAGCTACCTCCCAACGGGAAGTCTCCATTGTGCTGGCGTTTTCCCACACATCCTCATCCCCCAAGCTTCGAAGCCAACCTGAAATTGATTGGCAGGCGCAAGGACCAGGACAAAACATTTCGCCGGCCTCTGCAACACCAGGGCTTTCCGCCAATGGCCACTGGCCTTGACGGCCGTGCATCCGCTGGCCACGTCTGCCTGCAGCTTTGATTTCTGGAGAGAGTCCAGGAGGTCCAGCGCCTTTTGCCACTGCACCGCCTTGGCCTGCAACAAATGTGGTTGGTTTCTGCCCCAGCTGCTATGGTGTCTCTGCTCCGATAGGCTCGTTCGGGCGGAGGGTGTCAGATTCTCTGGGGCTGTGGGGGATACCACCTGGGCGTATTTGAGGATAGTTCTTGCATCTTGGAGCGATGTTGTCACATGATGTTGTTTAACCTCCTTTCGACCTTGGGGCCGTAAAAGGGAAACCAGTTTCCGGGCTCTATTTTGAATCACCAAGTCGTGTTTGGGAAAGGGAAGCCCAAGGAAACCCGCGGTTTCCTAAGCACCAGGATCCCACTTAGAGAAGCGGCGGGGAATTAATTGGACGCCGAGGTGCGCAGGCGCTGCTTCCGATGTTGTGCGTCACCGTGTCTTTCTGCACGGCCTTCTCCCGTAGAATCCTGGCCACGAAATCCCCAAGTCCTCAAACAGCTGCCTTTGAGAGGGCTGCTACCAGAGACCCTACCAACTTGTACCCGAGGAAAGGACCATATGCTTTCGACATTGTGACTCACATGGTTTCATACTCCTTCTTGTCCCGAACCCCGCGCCTGAGCTGTTCCACGGCTTGCTGCCAGGCTCCTTTGCCTCAGGTCGGCCCCCGACCGGCTGAGGCATGGAACCCGAGCACCGCCGACGCCGAAAAAGAAAGTTGCCAAACACACAAGCGGCCAACAAACGCTTAACATGCAGCGTGTTGCAGGATTGCAGGCTGGCATTGTAGGTGATGATGTTTGGGCGCACATCTGCTTGCTGCATCTCAGCAAACATGCCCATGGCCTTGGACAAAGCAAGGGCTCCGGAGTCTGGATGCTCAGAAGTTCACTGAACAGCGATGACTCTGCAAAACAGTTGGTCGGCGCAGTTGGCTGTTCAGATTACCCAAAGCTGCACAATTGCAGGTAGAAACGCGCATAAGCGCGTGCTTTTTCCAAGGCATGGCCACCCAACGCTTTTGCTTTGCTGACGCCATCTTTCCTGGATTCTTTGGGAGAAGGCGTTCGCTTACTGCTTACCCTCAAAATTGCCGATTTGAAGCCCACTCCAAGGTCTTGAGAACCCCTGCGAGTAGCCCCGCACATGTACCCCTTTCAAAACACACCATCAACGGAGTTGAGCCAACCTTGGGCTCAGAAGCTACTAAGGACAACAAGTACCAGCAGCTCTGTGAGTCGGTCAGCTTCAGACAAACGGCGCCGCTCCATGGGCTAGGGGTGATGCAGGCATTGAAGGAGACAGTATCCTAGGCCAGCACATCGGCAAGCACGCGCCCGAGGCGGAGACCCCAGCCCTCAGCCCTGAAAGAAGTTGGCAGCAGCATGACAAACAAAACCAAACCGTAGCCAGGTTCCCTTGCACAAGAAGGCCCTTGTTGGACTTGACCATTTCGTGGGGATTCCATGAAGAAATAAACAAGGTCACATCCGCTTGGGTCCAAGTCTGGCACCTTGAGCTGTTTTTTGCTGGGCGGCAGGAGCCACCCGTTCTGCCAACATCTCCATGAGCGTCTGGCGGGCTTCTGGCCATCGCCCTTTCGCGCTGATTGCCTGGCTCAATTTAAGGATCGACCCAATGTCCAGCTTCCACTTCTTAAGCGTACCTTCAAACCGCAACTCGGAGTTGAAGCGAGAAAAATCATCATGTCTGATAGCGTTTATTTTGGGGCTCCCCTGCAAGTAAACGCGCGTCTCGGCCTGCACAGCATTTCGGAGAAAACACAACATAAGGGAAGAACGTGCGCGATTGCGACCAAGGTGCTTTGAGAAGCTTAGAAGCCTAAAAGCCAATAATGGTGCTGCTGGGGGTGGTACTGGTGATGCGAGGATGCGGAAAGCCAAAGCGACAGAAGCCACAACACGCCACAACCTTGCCAAGATCCACAAAAGCCAAAGAGCAAACAAACAAAAGAAGCCAAGACGCCTGGAAGCCAAGACACCAAAAAGCCAAGAAGTCTGGAAATCAAGAAGCCAAAAAGCCGAGAAGCCAAGGAGCCAAAAGGCAAAGAAACCAGAGAAGGCGAAATCCAGGAACAATTCCTCAAGAAACACAGGCAAAATCCGTAAGCAAATAGCTCTCCATTTGATACATACTGACGTCGATTTGGACTTCATTTTGTTCCAGGTGAAATGATGTGAAATGTCCCGGGCCAAGCGAACCGCCTGCTTGGCCGTTGTTGGAGAGCAGTCGAGGATGGAAGAAAGAAGCTAAGGGCCTGCCATCAGGTTAGGCACTGGCCTGGTTGTACTCGAAGACATCGGGACCTTGGCTGGACAATGCCCCACGCACGCGCCGAGCGTTCTATCTCCAGGCAAAGCAAACCGGACCCTTCGAATTGCAAGTTAATTGTGCGGCATGTAGCGGGACACGTTCAAAGGCTGACCACATGAAACACACCGAGGGGTCGCCACGAATCGCTCGAATTGCTGCGCAAAGGGCAACCCCTACTCCAAATACCTGCCTTTTTTTTGGGCGGGGGGGAATGATTCCACCCCTGACCAAACAAGAAGATTTGTTTGCCCAAGGTGTAAACCTGGTATTTGGAGCTGAGTTGGAGTTGGGGTATCCTTCAGCAACCCACTTTGCAGGTTGACACCAGCAAGCATTTCCAAGTTGCAGTTGGCTGTCTAAATATGACGTAAGCAAACAATCGATAACAAGCAGTTTGGGCAGGGCTAGCTATGCGAGAGTGGCTTGAGATGGGCGTACCTCCACAAAGACTGGCTACCCACAGATTGCCTCGATGAACTCACGACCCTTAACAGCGTTGCCCTTGCTGTTTCATCCCCAAAAAACACATCCCCAACAAAAGGAAAACTCAAATTGGCGCTGTGAGGTGAAACGGAAGAAGTCCGCTTCAAACTACAAGCGACCACAACCGTTGAAAGCTGAAACCAAACTGTGATGTGCAAACTGCAAGTTCCTTCCATTTCGCCGGGTCGCGTTGCACCTTGCTCATGGCTCCCGCTGCCCGATAGCGGTGAAAGGGCCAACGCAAGCGGAGTGCCCCACATTGACGCACAACTTTCCCAGCAGGGAAGCCTGTTGCTCGCGTTTTTGGGAGAGACCCCTTTTGGTTGGCCAAGGGAAACCACGGGAAAACCATGCATTTCATCCACAAGAATGCTGAAAGGGCATGATCCGGTCAAGCATGGAACCTGTTTTGTCCCAGCTTGAGTCAGCCTTGCAGTCCCCTTGAGGGACCGGACATGCACAAACTGCACGGATCAAGGCAAGTGCGCGGATCCGGCACTGCGATTCCTCGCCCTGATGGTTGCAGGGAGGATTTCCACTCGACTCGGCAACCGCATTCTTCGGCAGTTCCTGGTTTAGGTTCAAGCGCTGCTACCCCCCAAGCTCATACAAGGCTCAAAATGTGGCCAATGGCAGGCAGGCTTGCTTCCTGCCAAAGCAAAGACACTGATGTATCAAGTCAGGATTCATCCATTCAGGGCTGAACACGACTTTGCTTTCCCTTGCAACATTGCAATTGCTAAAGGTGAAGCAGCAGGTGCTCGTTGATGATCCTTGCGGGTCGCCCTGCCAAAAGCCATGATTGTTAGAATGGGTGCTGATCCTGGATCGGCCTTCGGCATCCATTGGGGCATTTGAAATAGCTGCTGCTCGGAGGGGTGCTCAGCGCTTCCTGTGCACAAAGGATAGGCGCATCTGCATGGCAGAGCGGCGCTGCAAATTCACGTTGCCTCTTGGCAATGCTGCCAGCCATGGTCACCACCCATTAAATGAATTATGAACAAGGGGCGAAAAGGCCTCCTAACGAGGCACACGGACCCCTTCTATTTGATCGCAGGGTCCACTCGCTTGCCTTTGCCTGTCGGAGACGTCAGGCCATGGCCAACAGCCTTGGAAAAATACCATTCAAACATGACACCTCACTAGTGCCTTCACTTGGCTGTTCGCGTGTTCCCCGTGCTCCTGCCTGCATGCTTGCGATAGGGAGGAAACCAAAGGTCTCCCACCTCCAAGAAGGGTTCTTAGAACCTTCTGAGAACGGGTTGTTGAAAGGGTGCCAAGAAGCGTTGTGGGGGGGGTAGGGGGTGCCAACATGTTTCTGCGGTGAGTAGTAACACAGAATCATTTGCAAATGCTTCAAGTCCACACAATTCCACACATGCAGCGGTGGTCCAAATGAACCATGCCCTTGCTTGACCATGCAAGCCGGGCACTTTGTTTGCATTGCACAGGTCGCTACGCCAAAAAGCTGACGGAATCGAGATCTGGTGCTGTAAGTCTGTCCAATGTGCGCCTAACAGGTCAGCCCTCGGATTCATGACGCTTGGAGCAAAGGCAAGGCACAGGTTCCAGGGTGGCTATCCTCTGCAAAAACGTCCTAACAAACCAACCGCCCATCAAAAAGTGACCCCGAGAAAATACCGCTGAACTCTGCGTGTACTTGTGGCACCGAGAAGTTCCTAAGGCCTGCAGAGCTCTTGGCATGGCCACGAGCGTGGACTTCCTTGATTTCCCACAGCTGCAATACGCCAATGAAACGAGTCCCAGCATCCGAAACCACTGATCCTGCCTGCGTTGCATTGCATGCACTGAGCTGGCCAGCATGACCTGAGCAGCCAAGATTGCTGAACATGGTTGTGGAAAACCCCGCTTGTGATGCCGGCTGCGTGTTTGTTGATAATTTGTCGACGATCTACTTGCAGCAAGGCAATCCGCGCTTTCTCAGATGTTGAATGAGATCTCGGTCACTCCCCACACTTCGCCATCTGCGACAAACATTTGAGTGTTTTTTTTTTTTTACGCACCCCCTTTTTCGTGGCTTTTAAGGGAAACTGCAGTAAAAGGAAACTCACCAAATTGCAGGAACGCAGGAACACAGGCAGGCAGGCAGGCAGGCAGGCAGGCAGGCGGGCGGGCAGGCGGGCGGGCAAGCAGCTACAGCTCGCATGCATGCCTGTGGCCTAGCCGCGGCTAGCCTGGTGACCTTGGTGAAAAAAGGGAACTACATTCTGGGTCGACCATTTTGAGCGGGAAAACCTGAATCCACTGAGCAACTGGGCAACGGTGGATGTTTGTCCTGACATCTCTTTTGCTAAGTGGCTAGGTCTGTTTCTGGCAGCTTTTGTTGCAAATCAACGAAACAGGGCTCCACAAGGAGATTGGTCTACCGGATATTTGCCATTTTTGAAGCATCACTTCCTTGGTTTTGCGGGTTGCTTTGGTTATTTTAGCACTTCTCGCAATCCACCTCAACCAGGCGCTTGCCGGGCTTGCCCCGAATGGCTGTAACTTTCCCCCATGCAGCTTGCGAATTCTGATCCAAGGGGCTACGTCACTCTGCGGCTCGCTGACGCGGCGCCAATTCTCCTGGGGACGACACGAATTCCTGAAATCGGAGCAATGGTTGGAACCAGGACCCAGTTCCGGCAAGAATGCCAGGTTTGCGAGCTTGGAGCGTGTGTTCTGCGTTTGGTCTCACTTTCCCAGCTTCTACTTTCAACTGTATAGACTGATCATTTCAGCGGCAAAAAGGAAGTCTGGACTTGCTCCGAGAAGTCGACTCAGGAAGTGAGTGGGGCTGATGGCTTTCAAACGGGCCGAGTTTGTTAATCGGAAAATGCTTGCGACCCGAGCCAGGTAAGGAACCTATTGGTTGCCCAAACCAAACCTAGGGGTCACATTCCACCGCCTGCGTCATGTCCAGGTGGAAGCGGCACTTCTCTGTGGCACGGAGCTTGGCGCGGGCCAGGCAGGTCTGAAAGATGTAGCTGTTCTGCACCTCCGAATCGGATCGGATCAAAACGATCAAGGATGTTACCGGAAGCCAAGGAACTCCAGCCAAAAAGAGGGTCGAGGGAACAAATGTTTAGTTTCTCCCTTGACATACCAGCCAAAGAGAGACCACCAGCACTCCCTTGACATTCTTCTTAGCTTCTCAGTTTCCTTGGCACCAGCCAAGGAGAGGCTCCCCCATTTTGAGAAGCTCAAACGTAGGTGGTGCATTGATAAAAGCGATCAATATCCTTGTGGTTTCCTGGGGACGTTCAACAGCTGCAAACTAGCGGTAAACTTCAGGGTCTCGTTGTTTCGTTGGCTCCACTGCAGTACTTGCAATGCTTAGGCCACACACCGCAGCAGAGTTTATGGATTGTGCTCATGCCCAGTGACCTGGCAGAAACTGCAATGGAACCCTCGGGCTGAAAACCAACGTTGAGTGGAGAAGCCACCAGAGCAAACAACTGAGCTGGGGTGAACCCTCAATAAGGTTGATGAAATTCAATGACACAACTACCTTTTGATGTGGGAAACTTAATGAGAGCAACAGGGAAGGGCGGGTGGTTGTGCCATCTTGCACTCAACTGTAGCCTGGCTAGACCCCGGTCCCTGCAAATACAAACT